AGTCTGAACCTCTGGGGGAGCAACAGCATCATTAATGCGCGTGATGTCAATATCCTTCATCGCCTTCCCTGTCTTGTCAGTGTGTGGCATGGTAGGGACTTTCACAGCCTTACATAGGGCTGTGATCAAGCAGGGAAATGGAAGTGAGGTGGCTTGCTGCTTTGCCCGGATTCCTATCTCTCGGAAGATAAGAGCACCCACATCAATCTTGATTCCCGCCATAATACATGCAATGAGAAGAGCTTTCTCAATGCCTATGTCAGTCTCATTTCTGGACGGTATTAGGCAAGAGGTGACAAAGCTAAGCCAAAATCTACCCTCTCGTGTGAGATCCTCCTTGAATATTTTGTGCACAGGGTTGATCCAAGTAGGGGTCCCCTTGGATATCACAGAAGCTATCCAACTATGCTCATTTTCCCGGTTTGCCCATTTGGCGGCATACTCAGCTGTGCCCGGTCTCCAGTCAGGGAAGTAAAGATTATCTCGCTGCCATAGAACACACTCTTCCCCCGAACCAATACAGTGTCACAGAAAACCCTGTTGCGCTTGTGGTGAGCAGTTCTGGAGGCTCCAGATGAGGCATAAAACTCACGGACAAGAGTTTCATTATAGTCATCAGGCAGCTCAGTGAAGCACTCCCATTTTCTTGCTTTGATGTTCTCCCATATGTGGGGGTACTGCTCTTGTAGCCCATTCAAACTCAGTTGTTTTTCGGCCAGGATTTTCCGTTTGGTTAGCCCTTCTCTATATGGCGCCCTGGACCCTTCGACCCCAAATGTGAGCTGGAAGTTATCTCCGCTTTTCCTTGTTGCCTCAGCTTGTAGGTCAACTGAGAGCAAGGTCTCCTCCTCATCAGACTGGGAGGGAAGTGTAACATTAGGGTCCGATCGTGAACGTTTTGCTTGTGATGCTTGACGATTGGAGGAGGTCCTTTTCTGGGCAGAGGCTGTATGTTTCTTGGGAGCCATATCTGCACAAAAGTGAAATGTGAGCAACATGGTAGGCAACAGTGAAAAGAAAACAAAATAACAAAAACAAAAAATAAAATTTCTAAGTCTGCGATAGGTTATGTGATCGCATAACCACTATGCGCACCGCAAACATGTTGCAAATTGTCAGACTGGTGAAATGATCTAAGTATGCGATGGGTTATGCGATCGCATAACCATTATGCGGTTCACATAATCATCGCATACCTGATTGCTTAGAAAACAAAATCACAAAATGCGATCGCAAGATCCATTGCAAAGTTGGATTTGCGATCGTAAAGTGGTCGCAATCAGCATATTATAAAACTGGGTCTACTGTCTCAGTATGCGGTAACTTTGCAGTCTGCATATCAATTATGCGATAGCAAAGTCGCCGCATTCTGTCATCTTCTTCAGCCAGCTAGGGTTTACTTATGCGGCAGAAATGCGGATCGCATTTTATGCGAGCCGCAAAATTCATCGCTTCCAACGATTGAACTTAACCCTTAACAATGGCGGACCTAATTTCTACGACCCAGCACCCCAAAACACACTACTTAACCAAAATCACATTATGAGCAGACATCTAACTACGAAACACAAACCAGAAAAAAACAGAAACAAAAACAGGTGAAACACGAACAAGAACAAATGTATAACTAAAGCTTGCAAAGATGGAATTGGGACAAGGAAAACATACCAGTGACAGGATTATGAGCACACTTGGAAGATAAGTTCATTGATGTTGCCTGACGTACGTGATGCACTAGCCGTTTTGTCTTCTCCGTTCCTTTTCTTTTTCTTTTTTTTTTGTTTTATTTTGTTTCTGATAATAAAAAAAAATTCTTTTTGTTTTGAATGAAGATATGCGAGGGATGTACCTGAGCGATTTGCGGTGGATAAGTCACCGCATAACACACTATGCGACCGCATAAGTGTTATGCGGTGGATTCAAGTGAGTTGCTAGAGGGCCAAAAATATGGTGCACTATGCGATCACATAGTGGAAATGCGGTCCGCAAAGTGCACCACCTTGTCGCATTTTTATCACCAATTTTAGCCAAACACACTGTCTGGGTTTGCGACCAAAATGCGGTCCGCATAGTGAAAATGCGACCGCATATGTGTAGCAAACTTCCCAAGGTGATTTTTCTTCCCTTTCTCATGCAATCTTACCCCGTGTTATGATCTTTTGAATCCCCTGCACTCTAGCACACACTTTAATTGCTCAATTAAATCTATCTAACAAAAATTAAAAATTTAAAGTCCAAAAAGGGTGTTACCACACATGGGTTGCCTCCCATGAAGCGCTTGATTTAACGTCGCGGCACGACGAATTTGGCGTTCATTAGGATTCACTCATTGGTCGGGCATGGACCATCTTTGAGAGCCAACTGCTCTACCAAATATTTTTCTCCATCTGTGCCCAAGTAGTGCTTCACTCGCTGACCGTTCACTTTGAAGGTTTGGAGCCCATCCTCCGATTCTAATTTCACAGCTCCAAAAGGAGAGACATTGACCACCTTGAACAGACCGGACCATTTCGATTTGAGCTTGCCCGGAAACAATTTGAGCCTTAAGTTAAAGAGAATAACCAAGTCACCCGACTTGAACTCCCCCTTCAAGATCTTTTTGTCGTGGACGAACTTCATCCTTTCTTTATACACAGCTGCACTTTCATATGCATGGAAACGGAATTCCTCCATTTCATTGAGTTGTGTTAACCTCAAATTTGCAGCTTCGGCCCAGTCCAAGTTCAACCTCTTTAGAGCCCACATGGCTTTGTGTTCCAGTTCTACGGGTAGATGACAAGCTTTTCCGAAAACTAACCGATAAGGAGAAGTGCCAATAGGAGTTTTGTATGCCGTGCGGTATGCCCACAATGCGTCATCTAGCTTCCTTAACTAATAGGTCCTGTTTTCATTGACGGTCTTTGCTAGAATGCTCTTTATCTCCCGGTTGGAAACTTCAACTTGGCCACTTGATTAGGGATGATAAGGTGTGTTCACCTTATGCTTGACGCCATATTTCTCTAGTAGCCCCGTGAAAGCCTTGTTACAGAAATGAGACCCACCATCACTAAGAATGGCTCTAGGAGTGCCAAAACCGAGTGAATATGTTTTTCTTTAAGAATGTGGTCACACTCCTTGCCTCATTGTTTGGTAATGCAATTGCTTCAACCCATTTGAACACATAGTCCACAACCACCAAGATATATTTCATCCCACAAGAGCTCACAAAGGGACCCATAAAATCAATTCCCCACACGTCGAAGTTTCTACCTCCATCACAAAGTGCATTGCCATTTCATGCCTCTTGGAGACTGATCCTTGCCTTTGGCATTGGTCACAAGCCTTGACCATTTGATTGGCATCATGATAGATCGACGGCCAATAATAACCACATTCAAGCACCTTAGCCGCCGTTCGATTTCCCGCATGGTGACCCCCAACCGGTGAGTCGTGGCATGCCTTTAGAATTGGCATAATTTCTTCTTCTGGAACACATCTTCTGATGATGTTGTCAGCACACACCCGGAACAAGAATGGTTCTTCCCAATAGTATTGTCGATAGTCTCTCAAAAACTTCTTCTTTTGATAGGATTCCAATCCCTCCGGAATAAGGTCACTAACTAAGTAGTTAGCAATATCGGCGTACCAAGGAGCAAAAGTGCTAGATAGTGCCAATATTTGTTCATCCGGGAATGCATCATTGATTTCAAGATCTCCCTTTGGCGTTCCTGCCTCTTCAAGCCTTGATAAATGATCCGCTACTTGATTTTGCGTTCCCTTGCGATCCTTGACCTCGAAGTCAAATTCTTGCAACAACAAGACCCAACGAATTAACCTAGGCTTTGCATCCTTCTTTGCCATGAGATAACGAAGAGCAGTATGGTCTGTGTACCCTATCACCTTGGATCCCAACAAGTAAGCCCGAAATTTCTCAAAGGCATAGACAATGGCAAGAAGTTCTTGCTCAGTCACCGTGTAATTCATCTGCGCTCCATTGAGTGTCTTGCTTGCATAATAGACCGGGTGAAGAACCTTGTTGTGACGTTGGCCAAGCATTGCTCCAATAGCTACACCACTGGCGTCACACATGAGCTCGAAAGGAAGAGACCAATCGGGTGTGAATATAATAGGTGTCGTGGTGAGCTTCTGCTTCAATTCCTCAAAGGCTTTGAGGCATTTCTCGTCAAACACAAATTTTACATCTTTCTTAAGGAGTTTGCACATAGCATTTGCAATCTTAGAAAATCCTTGATGAAACGCCTATAAAATCCGGCATGCCCCAAGAAACTTCGGACACCTTTAACTGAGGTAGGTGGAGGAAGCTTGGAAATGGTCTCGATCTTTGCCCGGTCAACCTCTATGCCATGTTTCGAAATTTTATGCCCTAATACAATGCCCTCATCCACCATGAAATGGCATTTCTCCTAGTTGAGCACAAGGTTGGTCTCCTCACATCTCTTGAGCACTTGTCCAAGATTGTTAAGACAATGCTCAAAAGAGTCACCTACCACCGAAAAATCGTCCATGAAAACCTCTAGAAAGTCCTCCACCATGTCGGAGAAGATGGACATCGTGCATCTTTGAAAAGTAGCCGAAGCGTTGCACAAACCAAACGGCATCCGGCTAAAGGCAAAAGTTCCATAAGGACAAGTGAATGTTGTCTTCTCTTGGTCCTCCAATGCTATGTTGATTTGGTTGTAACCGGAATATCCATCAAGGAAGCAATAGAATGGCCTTCCCGCTAGCCGATCAAGCATTTGATCAATAAAAGGCATAGGGAAATGGTCTTTACAAGTGGCACTGTTGAACTTTCGATAATCCATACACACCCTCCATCCGGTCACTGTTCTTGTTGGGATGAGCTCATTTTTATCATTTTCAATTACGGTCATGCCTCCCTTTTTCGTCACACATTGCACCGGGCTCACTCAAGAACTATCGGCAATAGGGTAGACTACCCCGGTATCCAACCACTAGATGATTTCTTTCTTTACCACCTCTTTCATGGACGGGTTCAACCGTCATTGGTGTTCCACGCTTGTTTTAGTATCATTCTCCAATTGGATCTTGTGCTTGCAAATTTCGGCGGGAATTCCTCGGATGTCTGCAATTGTCCACCCAATAGCTTGCATATGCTCCTTCAATACATCCAACAACTGTTCTACCTGCACATCATTCAACAAAGAAGAAACAATTACAGGTAAAGTATCACTTGAGCCAAAAAACTTATACCTCGAGTGTGGTGGAAATGGTTTGAGCTCTAGTTGCGGTGGCTCAATAATAGAAGGCTTTGCGGGAGGAGTAGATCTATTCTCCAAGTCGAGAGAGAGCTTTGCCGGAGCATAAGTGTAGGACCCAAGCCCCTCCAATGCATTTACCGATTCCATATATCCTTCCATATCTTCACCATCAAAGTTCTCCAAAATAGCCGCTAACGCCTCACCAAGGCATTGTTCTTCCATCTTCATTTCAACCGCATCTTCCACTTCATCAACAACATCAATCACCGAGATGCTCTCATATTCATGTGGTAGTTTCATACCCTTGCTTGCTTGGAATGTAACCTCTTCATCATTCACCCGGAATTTGATCTCATTCTGTTTCGAATCCATTAGTGCTCTTCCTGTGGCAAGGAATGGTCTCCCCAAAATGATAGGGATTTCTTTGTCAACCGCACAATCAAGGATTACGAAATCGGCGGGTAAATGAAACTTTCCCACTTTAACAAGCACATCATCAACAATTCCCACCGGTCTTTTTATGGAACGATCGGCCATTTGCAATCTCATACTTGTGGGCCTTGGCATAACTAACCCTGCTTGCTTATAAATGGCAAGAGGCATTAAGTTGATGGTAGCCCCATTATCACAAAGGGCTCTTGCAAAGTCATGTGCCCCAATAGTACATGAAATGGTGAAAGCTCCCGGATCTTCTTTCTTTTGAACGGTAGATATTGCAATGATGGAACTAACCCGGTGAGTCACATTCACCACTTCATTCTTGGTGGTTCTGTTCTTTGTGATCAAAATTTTCAAATATTTAGCTAACCCGGGCATCTCTTGAAATGCTTCCACAAACGGAATATTCACTGATAATTGCTTTAGAATGTCATACAACTTTTCGAGTTTGCTATCATCAACCTTCCTAGCAAGTCTTTGAGGGAATGGAGGAGGACGTCTAGGAATAGGTGGAAGTGTTTTTGGTGTCTCTTTTACCTTTTCCTTTACCTCTTCCCGGTTGTCTTTTTGCACTTGCAAATCTTCCGGAATCTTTTCAACTTCGACAATACTTGGCTCTTCAACTTCAACGCCTTGTTCGGACTCTTCTACTTCAATCACTTGTTCACCCTCTCCTTGTAGTACCTTCCCACTCCGAGTAGTAATTGCCATAATATGAGAAGTTGGACCACTCCCACTACCCCTTGGGTTCGCAATTGTGTCACTAAGGAGTGTTCCCTTTTGCTTTGGATTTTGTTCCTTAGAGGGGTCTCTCATTTGCATCTCTAATTTTTGAATAGATGCGGTATGAGATCCAACAAGCTCGGTCATGTTCCTCATAGAAGTGTCGGACTTCTCTTGATTTTGCAATACCCGTTCAAGCATGATTTCCAACTTGGAATCACTTGAGGAACCTTGATTTGAATATTGACCCTTTGGAGGAACATAAGGATTTGAACACCGATTTGCGAAGTTGTTGTTGTTATTCCAATTTTCTTGATTTGAGCCACCTTGGTCATGCGCCATTGTTGGTTGCCTTGCCCTTGCGGGTTAGGCCTCCATTGATTTTGTTGTCCTTGACCTTGGTATTGTTGCCTTTGATACCCTCCTTGAGAGTTGTTGATGTAGTTTGCTTCCTCAAAATCTTCATTCGATATGGGTTGCACATCCTCCACCACATTTACCTTCTTTGTTTGGCTTTCCGTGAACATTTTTTTCAACACATTGACATTTGTGGCAAGCCCTGCGATCACTTGATCTCTCTCTTGATTCTCCTTAATCAGGTTGGTCAAGGAGGGAGAACCATATGCAATTCCACCTGTTGTGTCCTCTGAGTGCTAAGCTTGATTATGTTTTACCATTTTGTCAAGTATTTGTGTGACCCATGCGAATGATTTGTCCATAAAAGATCCGTCAGCTGCATTCTTGGCTATAGATTGGTTCATAGGATCCAAACCCATGTAGAATTTCTCCAACAAGATAGAGTCCGGAAAACCATGATTGGGAGACCTCACCAAATATAATTTGAATCGATCCCATGCCTCATGTAGATGTTCCCTCGGCTGTTGCTTGAAGAAGAAAATTTTATCCCGAAGCTCAGACTTCTTTCTTTGTGGGAACCATTTAGCTAAAAATGCTCGGACAAGTTCAAGCCAAGAACGAATGGAATTTGGTGGCAAGTTTTGGAGCCACCTCCTTGCGTCTCCAGCTAGTGAGTACTTGAACACCCTCAACCTTAGGGCATCATCTAAGACATTGTTCTGCTTATGCATAGCACATACACCCAAGAAGTTCCTAAGGTGTTATGTTGGATCATCATCAGTGGAATTCCTGAAAAACCCCTCCGCTTTGAGCATTAGGATTAGACCATGTTCCACTTTGAAAATTGAAGCACCAACAACCGGAGGTAAAATAGCATTTGTATCCTCAATGTAATCATCTATGTCCGCAAAAGGATTTTCTTCCATATCTTCCTCATATTCGGCCATGTCTTCCTATCAACACCAAGCAGAACAAGCAAAGTGTGATGGAATAGAATAATACGTAAAGTAAAGTACACACTAATTAGTAATTTCAAAACCGTATTCCCGGCAACGGCACCAAAAATTGATACGCACAAATTGCACTTTAATTAAATAGTGTAAGGTGGTCGATGTCAAATATAATAACCCAACAAGGTTGGGGTCGAATCCCACAGGGAATATGTGTGAAAAGGTTACTCGATCAGTGTCACTTGACTTAAGTCGTAATTCTATCCAGTTAAACATAACGAGAGTATGGTATGATTGTGATTTGAAGAAATAATTAATTGTGATATTGAGAATGTAATTAATTTAATTAAAGAAACCGATGTTGTCCCCTCCAATGAAGTGTAATACTATCGGTGTTAAAATGATATATTTCTAACGGAAGGTTCTTTTGATATGCAAATGATTTCTAAATGACTACCCAATACTTTCCAATAGTTGGGTAGTATTTCCTCTTTATGATTTTTTCAAATATAAAAGTGTTGCAGCTAAGAACAATCAATATATGACAAATAAAACCCACTTATTCCTAAGCGATTCTATTAAACAAGGTTTAAAGCCTTGAGTCTTTGATATTTACTTCTACCAAATTCTAACCCACTTTCCCAAGCAAAGTAAGAATTTAATGGCACTTGTTAATATCTGCAGCCACCAACAATAAATGAAGAATGAGAAGTAAATAAATATCAACCAACCATTACACATATATCAATGTTAAACACCCATTAACATAACACCCATTTAGGGTCCACAACCTTAGTATTTAAAGTTAGCTACACATTCTAAAATACAAGAGGATGAGAATATTTAATGCCATAAAGCTTACAAAGTGCAAGATTCTTCCTTCAAAAGCTTCCAAAAGAGAGGAATAATAATGCCATGGAATGTAGTCCCAAAATCAGACAAGATGCCCCCACAAAACCCCAATAAATCTATTTATATTGGGTCAAAACTCGGGATAAAAATCGGACAAAAATACCTTTTTCGGTTAAATATGCAACCGCATATCTGTTGCATAACAGACATGCGGTCCGCATTCTTGACATGGCCATCGCATTCTTCAAACCCTAGTTTCCACGCCTTCGTCGCATTCACATTTTGCAGTACGCATTGCAGATATGCGATCGCAATTCGCGTCGCATTTTCCACCTTCAGCAACCTTCATGACGAGTTTGCGGTCCATTATGCGGCCCGCAAACACGTTCTACGATCGCAGATTGGACCCCATTTCTTGCACTGGACTTTGGCCAAATAACTGTTGTGGTTTGCGATTTCCTTGTGCATTATGCGGCTCGCATGTTGGATTTGCGGTCCGCATTTTTACATTTGCGATGCATTTTGCTCTTTTCTTGTCCTTTTGTGGCTTTTCATTTCATTCTCTTAAGTCCTTAAATCTCATACACTGCAAAAACACTAAAATTACATAAGTATACAAGAAAATTGCATTTAAAACAAGCTAAAATCTAAGCAATTTGTATTAAATGTGCCAAAATTCTCCGGCACATCACTGGGAACTGGTCGTCCATTTTATATAAAACTGTCCGAAGACAGACCCCCCCCCCCCCCATAGACCCCTCTCATTCCATCTCCCTGTCTCTAAACCAGTAAATCCTAGCCGCCCCAATTCAATCTCAACTTAAACGGCCCAAACCCTAGCCGCTGCCCACAGGAAATCGTTCACGGCGGCAGCCGATCCCTAAACCACCCCTAAACTTTACCCCTAAATCCCCACCTCCTCCTCACCCCATATCCTCTCTTAATTTCCTCCAAAATACCCTAGAATCGCCCGATTTTCACATCTTAGAATGGTCATTAACTAGTGAAAGTCCCCAAACCAGTCTTCTAGCTTCCTTTTAATCAAACCTTCAATTCCTCATGGATTTTTGACCTGCGAGGTGTTTGCCGGATTGAGCATCTGAAAAAATACTCATTGGCCAGAAATGCTTGCGATTTGAAGAAGCAAATTCGAGCAGCTTTTTTATCTCCATTTCTTGTTTGTCGTTGGTCGCCCTCTCCTCTTTTGGTATGGCTGGTTCCGGTATGTAATTTTTCTTCTTTTCTTCTTTTCCTTTACATCTTCTTTTTGTTTTCTTTTTCTCCGTATTGTTTTTAGCCAAACAACTTTTCTGTTCCTTCTTGAATTCCTCTTCAGTTTGTTTGCCCTAATGATCAAGAGGCTTAATTATTCATTAGTTTAAAATATACAACAATTAGTTTAATCGATTTTAGTTCTGGCTGAATTAGGCTTTGGTCTTGTTTTGTTTCTTATTTTGCATGATTAACTTGACATTTAATTGCATGATTCTTTTGTTTTTTTTAGTTTAATTGCATGTTCGGTTTAATTGATTCAACGCTAATTAGTTCAGTAATCCAGTTTGGGTGAATTAGTCTATTATTTATGTTTCATTATGATCTGTGATAGCTTGTTTGCCATTTGGAAATAAAGGGGTTGAATGGGTAATACTGAAAACTCTGAAGGTTAATTGGATACCCAAATCAGAGAAAACAAAAGCTGGAATTGCCTAGTTGATTCTAGTAAGGTTCTAGAAGGGTTTTAATGGTTAGTGTAAAGATCAGAATATAGGGTATACTG